TTTGTCCCCGAAATTTAAAATAAGTTGCTATACATAAAATAGTTAAGATAGAAAGAAAATATATGTAAAGAAGAAATGAAGTTAGAGTGGTTGCATAAAAAAGAATGTCATTCTGTTGCAATCGGATTACAATGATTCCTCTTTCATGCCTCCTAGCTCAAACTTTCCTTCTCCTTCAGTACAATATTTAAATATAAAATCCTTTACGAAAAGATAAAGTAAAAAAAATAGATATATAATAACATAACGTCAAAATACGTATATAATAAAGTAAAGTTAAAATAGTTGCATTGAATCAAAACCGAACGTAGAAAGATTTCACCTACGCACTCATAGCATCACGTACTCTAAGAATAAGTGTGTAGTATCTTTGGGTCAAGCCCAAACAGTAAATAAATACATAAATATACTAACATAGACAAGCCTACTTGCCCACTTGCTTAACGAACCCAACGAATAAGTTATCGATATTACGATTTATAGCCCGCAATACTGGCAACTCACAATTGTCCCGATAAGCAAGTAATAAATTCCCGGGGGTGCAATATTACCATCTTGCCCTTCATTGGGAAATACACCTAAATCGTCTGATGAAAGTCTCGATCACGCTCACGCAGTACCATATCAGAGACAACATCAATAGCATACAATTTTGCTACATCGTAATCTTGATCATTCGAATACCTGTTTGTAATACTCATCTGTCAATCACGTTCCATGCGTAAAATCCCTATACCATAGCTCAAACTATACCATCGCCCAAACTAGAATAATAATTATCGTCATACGCAACATAAACAAAGATAGGTGTCCATCATTAACTTGCCAAAACTGTAAAACAACCAAAAGTAACATGTTCTCTAAGATCCAGATAGTTCATTTAGGTTGCCCGTTAGTCAGAGGGTGAAATGCCCAGAACCTTTGCCTGATTGCTTACCTAGCATTGCTCTTGAGTGCTCATCTTCAACTGTTGATAGGTCTTAAATTTCCTCAGCGAATACTTCAGGACATTTGATATGATGTTGGCTCTTTACACTGAAGCTACCAAGTGTGGATGAGTCATAGAGAGGTGATGCTCTGAAAGACCATTTAAAGGCGAAAGGTTGCACACCACTTCTATTATGCAAAAGAAACAAGCAGAGAAGAATGCAACACGATAAACTTGAGCCAATCATTGTAGCACGACGCCCTTCCCTGCATAACTGTATAATCCAGATAGAAGCAGTAAATTCAAACATTTGGTGCAAGTCTGGCATAAGAAACTCCAACCCAGTTCAAGATCAAAGCTGTGGAAAGTCAACAAGCGCAATAAAATACGTGTCGATTCATCTACTACCAAAGCCAAAGATCATCTACCACGTGAAGCTCCTTATGGTCCAATTTCATTCAAGATCAAGCCTCAATGGCACTTGAAGAAAACTTTCAGCCCAATTCAAGATCAAGCATCAGCGACCCTTGAAGAAATTTCCAGTCCATTTCAAGATCAAGCCTTAAAAGCCCTTGGATCGACATCGTTAAGGGACTTCAAAACGCATCTCCTACACGTGACAAGCACATGTATATGGCGCGCCTTGAAGTAGGGGCATTTGTAGACACCCAAATTTTGGTGAAATAAATGTTGACCAATAATTAAAATTTCAACGTTCACGTATCACATAAATTTTACACGTATCATGTAACCCAACAAAAAATCGAACAAAATCAGAAAAGTCATCAAATAGGACATGTGTCAACACCTGGCAGAAATGATTTATTTCATCTGAATATTATATTCAAAAGTAGGCCTTGAAAATTTCTATAACTAGAAGCCAATTTCATTCATTTCACTTGACCAATTCAATGACACCAAAACCTTGAAGCTTTGAAACTCTAAAGCTCTCAAATAAATTTCGAAGGATCAAGAAAGCCCTCTTCATTCTTCATCAAATCCTCCTTCAAGATCAAGCCCCGATGGCCCTTGAAGAACTTCCACCAATTCAAGATCAAGCCCCGATGGCCCTTGAAGAAAGTGTTCATCATTCATCATCCGTTCATCCTAAGATCAAGCCTCGACGGCCCTTTGGATCAACAACATCAACAAATCCACACATCCATTCTTCAAGGTTAAGCCCAAAAGCCCTTGAAGATCCGTTCATCAACTGTTCATCAAGATCATCCCCGAAGGCCTTGAAGATCCATTCATCTTAAGATCAAGTCCCGACGGCCCTTTGGATCAACAACATCAACAAATTTGCACAACTGTTCATCCTTAGACCAAGCCTCGACGGCCCTTTGGATCAATAACCCATCAACAAATCTACACATTACGAAGATAGAATCAGAGGATCAAATTGTAAAAGAGATTGTAGCCCTAAAATCAATACAAAATATTATTTTGTACTCGTGTTTTTGTTTCATTCATCACAGGAATATTCGTGTTTACAATTTCCCTTACCTAGAAGAATCTAATTTCCAATTAAAGAGGGAATCTACATCAAAATAGGAAACAATACTATGTCTCCTAAAGCAAGAAGATCTCTACACCTATTGCCCTCTCTTATGAGTAGCCCAATAGGTGTGGGGACATTTGTAGAGCCAAAAATAACCAAAAAAAATATGGAGGCGACACGTGGATTCTTGGGTGAAAAAGATAAAATTACCCTCAAGGCACACCGGAACTCCCGCGTGCAAGAAGTAGACAATAATGGCTCAATCAAGGTCAAAGGTGATCAAAATAGGTATTTATTCAAAACTTATTTCATCAATCCTCCCCATAAGGTAATTCCTATTTATTCTTTTCAAAATAGGATTAATTAGCTAATTAATTGATTAATTACCCAATTAATTGATTAATTGTCTAATTGATTACAATTACACCCAAAAATCACCATAAGTTGCCAAACCCATTTTCTCCAAATAGGGGCTGGCCCCATCCCTATAAATAGCCACCATTTCTCCCAAAAACCTAATTCTAATTCTCTTGCTAAATTCTTCAAATTTCTCTAAACAGTTTCTCTCTCAAATTTCTTCGGACAAAGCCCCCCTCCCCCATTCATCGTGGGTGCGTGAGGCTCTTGGCCTTGACATAAAGTGTTAATTGTTTAGCAAGTGCATTTTCGTCTAAAAAGAAGAAGGCAAAAATTTGCATCCACAATAATCATCAACATTTATACCTTCCAATCCAGACTCCTCAATAACTTAACGGGTATCAACGGCACCAATATTTCTGGGATTTATCTTCAGAAATTGACAATGCTAACTATGACCAATGGCTGTTGAAAAAAAAAAAAAACTATGACCAATGACTTGCCAAACATGGCATAGGTATTATAGTCTTTGTGAGAATCAAGCGTCTCAATTAGGATATATTTTTTTTTTTCCCTTTGACCGCTATGAACTTAATTTTTTCACTTCCCTAGGCTTTTTTCCTGTGACAAACTTTCTATGGCACAGTTATTGTGTGTGTTTAAATAAATCTTTACCAATCTATGTTACGAACGGGTCAATTTGTACTTTCAATTCTTCCCCGAAGAATTTCTTGCCATACAAGCGAACACAAGAAATTGCGAATGGTTTTCAATCTAATCATTGTATGTTTGTTTTTTTTTTTTTTTTCAATCTGCACTCAAAACAAATTCTGCTCACAAATTGAGTTTGGATCCTCTGTTTACGTCAAATGGTGTGTTTGGAATAAAACTACTTTTCTTGGGACTTTTTATTAGAAATAGAACACAAAAACATAAAGTACAGAAATCCATGAATTAAAAATGTTTGCGGATATGGTCAACCATGCCTATATTATATATATATATATTAAAATTTGCTATAGTAGACAAAGATTCTCTCCGTTCTTTTTTCCCCTCTCCTTCTCTTCCCTTCTATTTAAATACGCAAGATATCATCTTTGTAGAGAGAGAGAAGAAAAAAAAAAATCTAGAAGAGAAGGGAATGGAAAAAGAGAGGGAGAGAATCTCATCCTATTGGCGCAAAATAGCCTACAGGCCGGCCTGCTTGCTAGACTTGGCAAGCATCTAGAAGAAATTGTTTGAAACTATAAAAAAAAAAACTCAAACATTTGACATGGTCTATTAAGGGATGGAACTTGGTGTAGAACCTTGATGATGCTAGTTTGATGTCGAAATGAAAAATATAGGTCGAACATTTGTTTAAGTTGCAGGACGTTTCAGATAAAACCTTATTCCGCTTATCCACCTAGCGTAATTAAATTAACCATGAAAAAAAACATGGACTGAAAATGGTTTGGGGATGAGGTGGTGGACTGACTTTATGCCGCCAATAGTTTCTTAGTTGTGCAATCAGTATGTAGGAATCATGTGAAAAAGGCGAACTCCCTAGATTGTCAAAGTTTTGAAGCGACACTTCTGACAAACATAATTACGTGCGGAAATTACTAGATGGCTTAATCGTAGACGACCACTGTCTCGCACCAGCTGATTTCCATTTTTGTTTTGGAATAATTATGGCATCTTTACTTAACAGGAAAAAAGAGAAATAAGGAACCGGGTAACTTAAAAATAGGACGGTAAGAAAGGAAAATCGAATTGAACTAGTTTCCTTGTTAGTTTTGTTCAACACAACAGTTGTTGGTATGAGAAACACTCAAATCAAACTATATAAAACATTGCAATCACAATCGGACGCAATTATTATAATTAACGAGTAAACCAAATTTTGGGCACAGCCTTCCCTGGCTATAGCTATGGAGAATATAGCATTGTGGAACCAAACCACTTTTCATAATTGGCATGAAAATGATGGAGAAAAAAACATATTTGGCATCCAGCTGGCTACATCTAGCCTTCGCCCTTTTCCCCACACGCTGATTACCAACTACAATTCTTCATATTATCAAATATTGACTATTGAGAATGAAGAACCTTCCAGCACGCGCATACAGTTTCAATGCTCCATAAATACCACAAATGAGATCACCCTTTTCCAATCAACTCAAAGCAGAACTTTGTCTTGCCTTTACACAAATCCTTAACAGCTTCTTCCTCTAAGACCAAGTACTTTGAGAAATGGCTGCTTTTTTATCTTCTTCCAGTTATATTCTGCTATTTTCCCTCATGGTTACCTCTTTGATGGTTGCTTCTGCTGGAAACTTCTACCAGGATATTCAGGTTACATGGGGTGATGGCCGCGGTAAGATACTAAACAACGGCGAGCTTCTTACTCTCTCACTTGACAAGTCCTCTGGCTCTGGCTTCCAATCCACAAATCAATATCTTTTTGGAAAAATTGATATGCAAATTAAGTTTGTTCCTGGTAACTCTGCAGGCACTGTCACTACCTATTACGTAAGTTACAATTTTCCGTCTTGTTAATTTTCATATATTTCTTAGTTCTTTTTTTCTTTTTTTTTGGTTATCACATATTTGTTAGTTCCCCTACATATTGATAAACTAATTTATCGGCCCATGCATATGTCCGGCCAATATCACCAATAGTGTCCCAACTTAATCACCTATTCCTAGTTGGAGTTTATTAACAAAAGACCTAGGTGATATTAAGAGTGGAATATCCCCTATATAAGTTGTATTATATTTTGTCATATGCCCGATTTGGGACTCTATTCTCCACACATATTAGCTTATGTCGCTCAAGAGTTAGATTTCTAATCTAAATCAAATTACTCATGCATGCACGAACCTTAACTTTTGTGTATGCTGCAGTTGCGCTCAGAAGGGTCTTCGTGGGATGAGATAGACTTTGAATTCTTGGGGAATCTTAGTGGCGACCCTTATATTGTTCATACCAATATATTCAGCCAAGGCAAAGGCAACAAAGAGCAGCAATTCTACCTCTGGTTCGACCCAACTGCTGATTTTCACACCTACTCTATCCTTTGGAATGCCCAACATATTGTGTAAGTGCTGAACCACACACACTCATGCTTATTTCTCTTTTTTTTTTACTGAATAATCCGTAAAAAAAAAATATAAAAAAAAATAATTCTGTTAACGGTCTAACATGTGATGTTGTCGAGCAATAAATTTGAAACTGGCATATATAATATCGATTCCCCACTCCAATATATACGTTGTGCACTTGCACTCCTCATTATTTTTTGAGTCGTCGCAATGCAAACGCTAAAGACGAAAATGCAATAAGGCCTTCCTAATTTGGTACCAGGATATAATGTTTTTTTAATAAAATAGTGAGATCGGAAAATTTCCTATCCAATCTACCAAGCATCCTCACAACAGGAAAAATTGAAGCGCTTGTTTTTTTGTTTTCATGTTCTTGTTTTTATTTCCTGACTTATTGAAAATTTTCTCTGGTCTCTATCTTGCAGCCTCTATGTTGATGGCACACCCATCAGAGAGTTCAAGAACTTGGAGTCAATTGGTGTTCCATACCCAAAGAACCAGTCCATGAGGATATATTCAAGCCTCTGGAACGCTGATGACTGGGCCACTAGAGGAGGTCTGGTCAAGACAGACTGGTCCCAAGCTCCCTTTACTGCTTCATACAGGAATTTCAATGCTGATAATGCTTGCATTTGGCGGTCTTCGGGTTCTACTTCTTGCAGTTCAAATTCAAACTCAACGAGCTCTGTCTTGCTCTCACAACAATTGGACTCCACAAGCCAAGAGAGGCTTCAATGGGTGCAAAAGAATTACATGGTTTATAATTACTGCGCAGACACAAAGCGATTCCCGCAAGGCGTCCCTCTAGAATGCACTGCCAGCAACACATCTTAAACCTTCATCAGCTAAATCGTGTAAATTATAAGTTTTGATTTTCAATTCATTTAGGTCCTTTTGTTAATCATTTTGTTTGTAGTTCTACTTTTCACTCTTTATATTTGAAATATGGGAGAACCATATCAAGGAAAAGACGTATGAACAATAAAAGTGGATGAAAGATAGGTTGATGAGGAAAGGTACACAAAATAAAAATGAAAAATGAAAAGTTATTTTAGCTGTTTTCACTTTCAAAGAAATTTATTTCTAGTCATCTGTTTTTGTTTCTTCGCCTTCCTCCCACTACAATTCTTCATGCATTATGTATTTCATAAATTTCCCCCTCAAAACGAAATAATCAACACACGAGGCAAAAGAAACGAGCCCCAAGTAGGTGGGTGGATGAGGCAAGAGAAAACAAAATATGTTATTAACCCAATTTGGGCCTCACTAAGCAACTTAACAAATAAGCCCTTAATTAGTGTTTATACAATAATTTGGGCCTCAAAAAACTACATGAAAACATGAAACAAGGGAGACTTGACCGTCACCTATAAAAGAGCATCCACAGCCTCTTTTTTCGTTTTTTTGGATCTATCCTGATTCGCCCTAGGATTCTCCATCTATTCTCTCTTTTAGGCTCGCATAACTCGAGCACAATGAGATCGATTGGTTTGGAACTCTTGCTTTCGTCCTTATAGTTCTCTGTACTGTGGCCAAAAAAAAAAAAAATATATATATATATATATATATATATATATATGTTAAGAGACCATAACTGATGATCTCTTTCAAGAAGGAGGTTTTGCAATTGCATTTATGTGCTCTATTTGTTGCGAAGGTATGGAAACTGCTTCACATATTTTATTTGAGTGCTCTTTGGCACATTAAATTTGGTCTACTGTTTTTAGTAGCGAAGCCATGAACTGACTAGCGGGAAGGCTGGGTAGGAGGGGGTGTGAGGGCCAAGGGTTCAACTTTTATCATCATTTTAAATATACAGAACTGCTTAGAAAATGTTAAAAAATAGACAGAGTTATCAACAAAGAGTTTCACAGATAGTCCGAAATTTGTTAGCTGGTTATCATTATTATTTCTTACTTTCACAAAATAAGTAGTTTGGTTTGTTATCAAATTTAACAAGAGCAGCTCAAGTTGCGAAGGTGCAAAAATTGAACACGAAATCACAAGCATAAGTATCACTTCTAACGCAACTTTCACATTGTTTGACACAAAATCTCGGTGCAAAACATCACACTTAGTAACTAAACAATATAAAACCTATCTATCGACCATACTACACATCAAAAGATATTCACAACCGAAAAATTTTGAAACCAAAAGAAAATCTAATATCATTAAATATTTTCAATCTAAAATTCAACAATTTTAATCATTTCAGAAGCAATCTCAAAACACGTATAATCTAAAGACGACAAATTTAGCCAAAGTTATACAATAAATAGTTACAATAATTTGGTACAAGTTTTATAAAAGAATAAAAGAATAAAGGGGAATTTTATTTGAACCCATACAACCTTTTTCTACACCCAACTTACTCTTTACACCCATATTACTTTTAATTAAACTATCAATATCTCTTTAAACCCAAATTTATTACCTAAACTACCATCACAAACTAATTTAATATAGAAATTTATCTTGGCTTATTATATTAACACCCCACAAATTGTTGAATAAACCACACATACTTAATACACCCTACATTTGCTTTTTCACTTAAAAATTATCTTAATACACCCCACATACTTTCCCATAATACCCCTACACCCCACATTCTCAATATGCACCTTATATTTTGTGCATACACCCACATTTTCTATACACCCCACATTTCTCAAATCTTATAACACTCATTTTTAATTTTCAGGGACTAAATCTAACCATTTGAATGTTTAGTTTGCTGAAAGATTTCAAATCATTTGAACGCTGAGTTTTCCAAATGATTTCAAAATGATGATTTGATATCATCTTAGTATAGTTTGCATCGACAAATGTCTACCTTCTTTAAGTTGGGTATCAGCAATGGCTTATCAATAAGTTTAACTTCATGGTATGCAATTTTTGTTTTGACTTTCACGAACTTCATTTCTGCAGTGTGGGAATTTTATTTTGATTATTACGTGGCTGGTTTTAAGACGTATACTCTTGGAAATATTTGAAATATTTGAAGTTGCACTTCCAAACGAATTTGAGATATTCGAAGCTGCATCTTTACATTGATGGATATAAATGGAGGTGCAAGTACAAATGGTTAGTTGTGCCATTACACAATTTGATAGTTGAGAAGATAAATAATCCGTTAAAAGTGATTTGGAGTGTATTTAGAAATTTTTATTTTTTTTTTGAAAACCTAATAAAGTCAAAATTGTCATTGCATAGTGAGGTAAATAAGTCATTTAATATTAAATTTTAATGTGGGTGTTAAACTTGTTAGGAGTCTTTTAACCACTAGGGTTAAGCTTCCTAGTTTCTAGGACAACTTTGTAGTCGTTAATAATTCCTATTATTAAGGAACCAGTATTGTTTCACGTTCAGTCTTTAACCCTAGTCAGATACCACGATTCTAGGTGTTGTAAAATCGTGGGTTGTTACTTTCATTCAGTTATCTTGTAAGGCTATAAGTAGCCTGTGTTATCTTTGAATTCAATAAGATTATTCTCCCAGAAACCAAGTGTGTATTGAACTTCCTTCTCTCTCAGTCTCTCAAAGATCTTTCTGGTTTTTAACATCTGGTATCAGAGCCCCACCAAGGGGCCTGATTTAAAGTCTGACAGTAAACACGAGTGCAGTGAGAAGGAGCAGCGATATGGCAGGAGAAAGTAGTTTTGTGCAGCTAGCCATCACGTGTGTGATGATAACAATACTGCCTAACCTATGCTCTGATAACAAACTGACACACCCCAACCCGGAATGTCCACCTGGACACCTGAGCTTGTCGACAATTGGAAGGTGACGAAGCCATATAGTGTAGTGATGTAGAAAATTTTGAATAAATTAAAACCTAAAAGTGAAAAATTTAGAGCGCGCATGTGAGCGGGGATTGAACCCATATCACACAAGTGAAGTTAGAGCATAGATAAATTGCAGTAAAAGAAAAGTAATGACATTTATACTGAAAGGAGAAGTCTCCTACATAACAACTTTTGCCAACAATCCTCGTCGTCACGAAACATCTGCCACTAAAATCCTAGAGGGGCAAAAAACAAGGTTGAGTGGGCCTGAAAATAAAGTTTTGTAAAACCTTTTAAAAAAGTGTAACCCCTCGTTGTAAAACAAGTATATGGATTCCCAAAAAAATATTATAGTAATTGTATGTAATAGGTACCTTGCAGCAGAAGTAAGTCAAAGATGTAGGGTACAACAATAAGGCATCTCAACATTAAATCTCAAACCGTTATTATAAGAAATCAATGCTCATTAATTTATGTAGGCACACAAGTCCACTGCAGGGATATTCAGACAATGGAACAAGCTGGGTGTAGGTTTTACATTCTAGTAAAAACAGATGGTGGATTCAAAATCAGGCCGTTGAAATACGCTAAGTGGGGTCCCGAACAAATTTTGTAAAAAGTCAACGAAAAGTCAACGGTTAACCCTCAAAGTCAATCGAGACACCCGGGTGGTCAACTATATTAAAACTTCAGAATTTTCCTAAATGGATGTCAAAAATGGACTTGGGACGTCGAAATTAGGCTAGGAGGGTTTTCGAGAAAATTTCAAAAAAGTCAACACAAAGAATATTCCAGGGAATATTCTAGAGATATTGTAGGAATATTCCAGAATCCAATTAGAATTTGGGCTGGGCGGATCCTAGGTTTGGGTTGATTCTAGGTTTGGGCTTAGGCCTCTTTTTGGTTTTTTTTTTTTTTTTGTTATCGGGTCAGGTTGACCCGAATGGACTCATGGGTTGGCCTTTTTTTTTTTTTTTTTTTTTTTTTTTATTTCCTTTTCTTTTTCTTCTTCTTCTGCAGATTTTCGTCAAAAAATTTGGGGAGGATTCAAACCCTCCGTTTAGACCCAAAGCTCAACTAAAACTAGCAACCTAATATATCAAATTGAAGCCCCTAGAAATAAGGAATCGAAATATACCATTGGGGTTCTCATTTGTGGTCGCATTATAGGAAACAAGATGCAGTTTGCATGCATGTGAAACCTTAGTAATTTCCAACTAATTTTCACATGTAAAGAGACATTTAAGTACCTGGGATTGTTTCAAGTAGAACATGAGCTCCAAAGTCATGACAACGACATTAACCACTAGTCAGTCATTTTATCCTTGTTTGTTCAAGTGCTTCAATCACATGGTACCTTAGTCGGGTGCGTCTCGACAATTGCTATGCCACGAGGCAAGTCTGTTATGCCAAAGCGAGTGTAGCAGTTGCACCGTTTCCATTACCAATCTAGTAATGCCAGTTAATCTTATTTTATTGGATATCGTGGAATTCCACATAATCTAAGAGATGGATCGACTACATTATTATTATTCCTTTGATGGAGCATCAATCGAAAGTAGTCATTTTTCGATGACTTGTCATTCCTATGGTCAGTTCAACTAGCAAACATTAGAAACTAAAGTACAAAATCCATGTTGTAAAGGCGAAACATTCATTGAGAATAGTTGTGAAGGTTATTAGCATGTGTTGTAGAGGAGGACGACAATTCGGTACAACTAGAAATTGTGAACCCGGTCAAACTAAATTCCTGACATCATTCATAAATATCTACCTGTGATACCATAAAGATTGAGATGTGTGAGGCATCACTGGTCTATGTCCAAGTATAAAACCTATTTTCCTCGAACCTTGATCGTAGAGACCTCTGCTTCCATTCATGAAGAGCAAAGGTCGAACCTTAGGATTGTACATTGTTTACTAGCAATTAAATTGGGTGATGATTAAAAACCATTAATCTATGTCTTGAAGTGAAGATCCCTCCAACCAACTCTATAGAACCCGAGCTTTCTTCCAGATTGATATGAAATTTGGTTGCGACCAGCTTAAGATAAAAAATGATGATATTCCTAAGATTACGTTTAGGACTCGACATGTTCATTATGATTTCCTTGTGATGTTATGCGTGTTGACGAATGCTCAAATATTATTTATGAACCTGACAAACCGTGCATTTCACCTATGTCCAGTGAAATTCGTGATAACCATATCGAGAACTTCCTTGTTTACTCTAGTAATGAAGTCAAACTTTCTATACACCGATGATTTGATTT